TCTCTCTCTTTCGGATGCTATGCTCCATCGACAGGCACACGCACGGACTATTAGGACGCCTGTCGGACAATAAGTCAGTCAATCAGGCCTCCTTCTTGATATACCTGTCCACACGCACATGCACACACACACACACAGAGAAAGAGAGAGAGAGAGAGAGAGAGTGGATGCGTGTGTGTGTGTGTGCGTGTGTGTGTCGGCTTAATTACGAGTGGTAGTATGAGTTGACTCTGTGGTCGAGGTCGAATGCGTCGTTGAGGATGGTGTTGAGCTCCTCGGTGTGCACCCGGGCGTCGCCCACGGCGGGCGATGACGACACATCACGGCCCACATAGATGGGCTGCTGGATGCCGTTGGGGCACCCCATGTACCGCAGCGAACTCTCCAGCCGCTTGCTGCAGTAAAACCACGGGCCCATGTTCATCGGCTCCTCCTAAACACACACACACACACATATATATGGCCAGCCGTCCGCCCACACAGACACACACACATAGCGGCTCCACTCCCTCGCTGACCTGCGCCCACACGACGTCCTGAAGGTTTGGGTATTTCTGAATCTCGTTAATGACGCTGTCGAAGGGGAATGGCGAGAGCTGCTCGACACGCGAGATGCCGATGTGCTGCAGCTGGTTCTTCTCGCGGAAGGCCAGAAGGTCGTAGAAGACCTGCCCTGAGCAGAAGATCAGCCGCTTCATCTCCTCCGGCGCCACAGTCGACCCAAACCGGTCGTTGGGGATGTGCCGGAAGAAGCGCGTGCCCGGGCCGAACTCGTCGAGCGTTGAGAATGCTGCGCGCATCTTGAGCATCCGCTTGGGCGAGAAGATGATCAGTGGCTTGCGGAACTCGCGGTGCATCTGCCGACGCAAGACGTGGAACAGCTGCGAGGGGGACGTGCAGTTCACAACCTGATGACACCCAACCAGACAGACAGACAGACAGATGCGTGCCTTCCCCCTGTGTGCGGTGCAATGCGGTGCTGCCATACTTGAATGTTGTGCTGTTGGATGACGGATCGCTTGGCCACGTCCCACGACTCAGGGTGGATGACGTCCTCCCGGTCGTCACACGCCTGGAGGAACCGCTCGATGCGCGCGGACGAGTGCTCGGGCCCCTGGCCGTCGTAGCCGTGCGGCAGCAGCACCACGATGCCGCACTGCTTGTTCCACTTGGCCTCGCCAGACGTGATGAACTGGTCGAAGACCACCTGCGCCCCGTTGGCGAAGTCGCCGAACTGCGCCTCCCACATGCTCAACGTGTCGGGGTGCTCCAGCGCATAACCTGTCTCGAAGCCTGAATGAAACACACACACCAATGCGTGTGTGGGTCCCCCCCTCGTAGGCTCGAGTGTTTGCCTCACTCACCGAGACAGGCGAACTCTGAGAGGTTGCTGTTGCCGATTTCGAGTTTCTGGGGCGTCTTGAGAGCGCTGAATGTGAAGTAGGTCTTCTCGATGGTCTGGTCGTGGACCACGGCGTGTCGGTGGGAGAAGGTACCGCGCTGCGCGTCCTGACCCGTCAGGCGCACGTGGAAGCCGTCGGTGAGCAGGGTGCCGTACGCCAGGGCCTCGCCCAGACCGAAGTCGATGTTCTCGCCCGACTCGAGGGCCTCAACACGAGACCTGAGCAGACAGACACACAGATGAGATGGATGGGATGGCGTGCTGTGTGATGTGACTGGGGGGGATGAGTGTGTGGCCTGCCATGGCGGACCTATAGGTCTTGGCGATGGTAGGGTGTGGGTTGAGGTCGTCGGGGAGCTTGGAGATCTTCATGCCGATGTCCTTGAGCATGTCCAGCTCAACGCCGGTCAAGCGGGGACGAGCAAACTCTGCACACCACACACACCACACCACACACAGGGAAGGAGACAGCGGGGATCTTCCTCTCTCGACGCTCTGGTGAATGTCATGTCCCTCTCTCCCTGTCTGTCTCACTCATTCACTAACCGTACCGTGTGGCTTTTTCATGTGTCGCCATTGAGGCTGGTACTCGTAGACGCCGGTGGGGGTGAATGTTTTGCTCTTCTCGTACTCGCCCGTGTAGAAGTCCACGATGTTCTTCTTGACGTCCTCCACATAGTGCTGGTCGATGAGCCCCTCGTCCGTAAGCCTCTGCCCGTAGACGTCCAGCACCGGCGGGTGGCGCGATATCAAAGTGTACATGTGGGGATTCGTAAACTTGGGCATGTCCAGCTCGTTGTGGCCATAGCGACGATACCTGACAGACAAGACAGACAGACAACGGGACAGGGCAACGGAGGGAGGGATCCGATCCACGTGTTGGCCTGGCCTCTCTCTCC